CTCGACCCAGATCTTCTCGCCGGGACCTAAGTAACCGAACTGCGACATCTTGAAAACCTTAACCAACAGGATTAGCATGCATTTCAGTGATTTTTCTCTGCTTTTTGTCACCGTTCCAGGACACCCGAATATTGTTTCCGCCTTGATCAAGGGAATCCACAATACTTCAAAAATGAATCATGGCAGACGACTAACCTCGGAGAACTTCTTCAGCAAATGCTGCAGTGCTACGATTCACGAGTTAGAGTTGAACACGGAGGAAGTAAGTAGCGATACTGGAGCAAATGTCACAGGTCTAATCTTGGGATCAACCACTCCTTGCTTCTTTTTGATGTATACACAACAATATGCACGGACTATAATTTTGTTCCTAGGTCTCACGCGTGTCCCTTTTTAAGTCAGAGATCTGGGTACCAGATGTAAACCACGGTTATGAATTCAGTTATGAGTGACGATATCAACATGCAATGCGACAAGAGGGCAGCAAACTATGCCAATTTTATAAGCAAGATAACCATGCCATTTGAGGGCTAACCAACTTTTTGCGTGTCAGTAAAAACTGTGTTGACTGGTTTTTGTTTCAGGAGGGAATCCTACAGAGGTCCATGTCAGCATGTACATTTTGTCCATTGGGAATTTCCAAGTTCGCGATATGGTAAGAGGAGAAATATAGTGAAGTTTTCACAAAAAATAAAGCTGTCTAAAATTTATCACACCCTCCCAACTAACAGTTTAAACAGAGAGGAAACGATTACCATTACTTTGACTAAATCTTTTTCCCTAATGTTTCAGGATTTCCAACTGTCGTTTTACTTCAGACAACAATGGCGGGATGCTCGGTTAGCTTATAAGAACCATTTCCACGAAGAAAAAATTACTTTGGGAGGAGCAATCCTGAAACAACTTTGGCTTCCACAGACCTATTTTGTCAACAAAAAGGGAGCCAGCGCAAGTACAGATGCCAATTTTTTTGTGCGAATTTTTCCCGATGGATCCGTACTTGTGATCACCAAGTAAGTGGAAAAAGACTTTCGTCTAAACTTAGCAGGGATCAAATTGGTTTTGTTTTACTTATTTTTGTGATTTCTTAATAAAAACTGTGCCCAACTAGATTGAGAACTTAACTCAATCGTGACTTGCCAAACCGCGTTTTAAGCCTTCTTGAGTTTACAAAAAAGGAAGAAATTACTTCATGAAAAACAATTATCATCATTATTATTTTTATCATCATCATTTTTATTACTATTATAAACCTGGTGATTCCAGTAGACCCTGCCGATCGTTTCCGGAAATCATCGACGTACTGTCGAAGATTATCTTTAATAATCCGAATACTTTTTGGGATCTTCGAACATTTGAAGAATAAATGGGCTCCATTTTTTTTCTTATAAGAAATACTCTGACAATGGACTGCTACATGGATTTAAGAAACTTCCCGTTTGATGTCCAGAAGTGCAACTTGACTTTGGAGAGCTGTAAGTTTACAATTCATAACTTTATATGCTAAGACCAATTCCCATTTCCAACCTTATTGGGGCATTTGTCAATGAAGTGTCGAGAGTGATCTGGGATTGCATTGGTGTTGGAAGTCACTCCGTGTTTGGTCCAGAAAACTCACGCCACTCTTTCAACCAATCAGATGCAAGACTAAAACCATTCATTACTTGTTCGCCTGCGTTTCCCGCGCTTAAGGCAGTTGCTTGTTTTTACTTCCAGTTCTTATTGACTCTTGAGGGCATCTTCCTTTTCTTCTAATTGGCTGATTACCCCACTCAATCGAAAAGCGCTATACTTACACTATACTTATCAATTTCTATTCATTTCTTTTCTCAAAAGTTGGATTTACCACTAAAGATGTGGTTTATAAGTGGGTTTCGACGGACAGCAGCGAAGCAGTGGAAAAAGATCCGGGGCTTACAACATCAGAGTTTGATATTGGTCCTATAAGAATATTCGAATCCACAACGATGTATAAAACAGGTAAGACATTGTTATAAAGGCCAGCAATTTCTACTCACTAACTTCCATTATCAATCTACTGTGTACGTAAAAGAACATGTTTTTAAAGGTTAGGTGACCGATTTTCAGTTAATCTCTTTATATTTGCGCACAGAATACACAAAATATACACAAGATCTACACAAGATCATAAAAACCACCCCCAACCCCCAACCAATGAAAAGCTGCCTTCCTTATAGGCTTGTTTTCATTCAGAATACTATGTTCGTTTTAGGGCTGTTTTCTGGTCTAAAAATGGAATTGAATTTCCAACGAAGATCTATTTATTACTTGATTCAAATCTACGTGCCAAGTGCGATGATCGTGGTTCTTTCGTGGGTGAGTAATGCTCTAAAAGTTGAATATCCTCAGCCTGACCATATTTTTCTGGCTTCTGACTTGTCCTGGGAGAGAAAAGAGGACTCCTCTTTTCTCTCCCAGGAAGAGGGGGAGGTGATGTTGACAAGAGGGCAGTATTGGTACCTTTTTTCTTAGGATGGGAAGGGAAGCGGGAGGAATTTTAGCCTGGGAACTTAATGAAGATGAGCAAGAGTGCTGAATAGATAACTTATAGTTCACACGGTATTCGAGATGACCACCAAAGAGCCTTCACTAAATGATGCCGAAATTTCGAAATTATCAGTTCGCACTGCCAAAATGATCGGAAAAGGGTAATTCTAATCTAAATGATAATATCATTATTATTATTACTATTATTATTATTATTATTGTTACCATTGTTATCATTATTATTATCAGATCTCCTTCTGGATTGACAACCAGTCGATTCCTGCCAGAACGGCGCTTGGCATTACCACTGTGCTCGCCATGACAACACTGCTATTTGGTGTCCAGTCTTCTCTGCCCAGTGTGCCGTATATCAAAGCTGTAGATCTGTTTATGATTGTATCATTTGCTGCTGTCTTCGTTGCACTGGTGGAGTTTGCGGTTGTTAATTATACGAGCATGCGTGAGAAGGAACAAAAGGAATCAAGAGCCACGAAAAATAAGTATACTGTGGTAAGTCGTTATCTTCCATTCACGAGCATGAAATACTATGGCATGATGGATAAAAGTGCTACCAAAAGAATATATCCTCTGGGTGGTACTCATGGTGCCATGAGATTCCATCCCACAAAGGTGTGATACTTGTTCTCCCACAAGTTTCATCATTTCCCGCTCTTTTCACCGGGCGCAGTACACCAGTTTTCCCAGCTGTAAGTTTAGATGCACGTGGTAGCAGTTAAATGATTTCCTGCCAGTTGTTCGCGTTTCCTGCAGATAAAAGATTTTCGTGAAGTTTGTGAAGGGTCACACTCCCTTTCTCCCTAAAAATTTTTAAATTTATATTTATATATTTTTCCGTTTCGAAACGTGATTGAACTTTACCTTCACAACAGAACCCAGAAGTTGTTATGCTAAACTTCCGCAATTTGTCTTACGAGGGCGACGGAAAAGGTGAACATCATATGCAAAATGGCGTCGTCCACAACGGTACTGTGAATGATATTGAGAACGACAACGCTGATGTTCATAAGATGGAAGAACTACACAGTAACGGTACCATTGGTGAACACGCGCCACGTGATCGCAAAGATTCGTCGCGTGATCTGTCGCATGTCTTTGAACCTTCTCGCTCGAACAAGTGTCGCTGGCGATGTAAAGTCACAGCCAATGGAATAGACGCTTGGTCACGTATTCTGTTTCCTCTGGCGTACGGACTTTTCATAGTAGCTTACTGGATTATTTATTCAGCAAATACGGAGAAAAGTTCCTGATCTGTGTCTTTTGACAAACACGCAATTTTCAATTCGCTGAGCTTCTCATGTCCTTACACATATGCGGAAAGAACAGAGCAAATCAACATGACTCAAAAATAACTTTTAAGTACGAAATTAAAGGTAAACTGAAAAGAATAACAAAAAGAATATCTTCTTCGCCGGGTATTCTCCGTCATTCACTCGTTCGTTATTTTATAGCTGTGAAAATTCAAGGCACCGTTCTTGGAAAAAGATTTAAATCGCGTTTGAATTGTCCCATAAATTTCAAATTGATTCTCTCTCTCTGACAAATGGGATAGGTATATAGTTATTGTACGTGCACGACGCATTTAAGAAGTCGTTTTGAAAATTTTCTGAACTTGGAATTTTCCAGGTTGTTGATGTGTGAAACTTGGGAGTTTTGGAAAATAATCTTGACATTCGGAACGCCAAAAAAAAAAAACATTAACATTTCTCTTTTTAAAATACATTGGTTAGTTAAGGGCGAAATGGAGTGAATTTCATTTTTCTTCGTTCTGAACGACGTCGCCAAATGTTTTTTTTTTCATAAATTTATATTCATTAACATTAACGTTTATGAAATCCAAAAGTTTGATGTGAATCCAGCATTTGTGGTGCATACACTTTGCAAATTTGAAGAAGTCCTGCTCTCTGCTTGCGGATGAGCCTAGCTCAGTATCCGATGATTTGTCCCATGTTAGGGATGGCACTAAAATGATTCCTTGAAAAAATGTCCAATCTCGAAAAACTTTCATCCGATCTCAAAATCTAATCAGCGTTTGTGAGGAGTTTTGCAATCTCGCACCTCTATTAAAATCCTCAGCCATGGATTTCTTCTCAGAGCCGAGGGTGTTAAGAGCTCAAGTAGCTTGGAATTATCGTTGTGAGCAGCGAAAGTCTGTCAATAATCCTCTAAGTAAAATAGCAGTTTGACTACGTTCCGTCCCTCCTCTTGGGCGAAGTCCTTTACGCAAGTAAAAAAAATCAGTGTAAAAAAATTAATGTTAGCGCGCCGCACAGAACTGTTGGAGTGAGCGCACCGAGAGAGTCTCGGATTTTCAAACAGGCCTGAGTCCTCGGTTTACCATCCGCCATCTCTGACGCTGGTAGGTAGCTAAGTGTAACTAATATAATAGACTTAGATTGCACATTTGGTTAAAGTTTAATAAAAATATTTAAAAGCAATTTATAGGAAATAAATACAATTAATATTCAACTGACTTTCAACTTCTGTGTATTGTCTTAGTTATGTCAAGCTTAAATTCTTCGCGTCTTGGATTACTAATATTTGGACAATTTTTATCTGCTCATATACAAAGCACTTTTCAATTGAGTTTCGAAAGTAATCCGGGATTCCTTTGATTTTGCTTTAATCTGTCTCTGATTGGTCTAGAAAACTCGCGCCACCATGCTCCCAACCAATCAGACGCCAACCGATACCCAACCGTGACTTGGTCGCCTGCGTTTTCCCGCGCTTTTGGTCGTTTGTCTTTTTACCTTGAGTCTTCAATAGGCTGTTGTGATTACTTCAGTTTTGGTTTTACGACAATCAATTAAAAATTCTCCAAATCAATAAAATTCCTGTTTTTGTTTTCGCATGATTACTCATCTCCTTAAAAAGGAAACGGCCCCTCAATCTCCGCAATTAGGTTGAACACAAGATATTGTAATTTGCACGTATACTGACTAAACGTTTTTTTTTTTAAATAACTCAACGGGCACTATCTATTTTTAATAACTATAAAATAAACTGCACAATCTATTTAACCTTTTTAGCTATACGTTGTAGCGCTGTGATTGCTCCTTTATGTAAATGATCTTTTTTTAGAACATCAAGAAAATAATGTCTGGCTTGTTTGAGTAAACCTTTGAGTTCTAGAATTCCTCCTAAAATGTACTCGGCGTTGATGTTGTACTCATCATGAGCGAGAACAAAACGGACTTCTTTTTCAGCGGAATCGAGTTCGCCCTGTCAGGTAACAGAGATTGTTAAGTCAGAAAGAGTACACTCCATTCTACACAACAAAACAACAACAATTTTTACAACAACAGTAATGAAGATTTAGCTACAACACTGAGATGAATAAGATGGCATCACAAAATATATCAGTTTCGAGTATTTCAAGTCTTAGTTTCCCTTGCATGCATCGATAACTGACTACAATTTCATTAGCCTCATGTTGTTCTATTAGGTTAACTCTTGTTCTGTGACCGCATGTTAGAGTTAATTTCTTTTTCCTTAACATGAAAAATTATAAGTGATGTAATTATTCCTGGATGGGACACCAGCTCTAAGCCTGGGCCTGGGTGATACTAGGTGAAGAGAGGTACTGTGAGAGAGTAAATGTCTTGCCCAAGAACACATCACAATGTCATTAGAGACCAAGCCATGGCTCGAACCCAGACCTCTCGATTAGGTGTGCGGTAACTTACCAGTCCGTCGCCGCTTCTCCCAGTAATAAAAGATTCGTTTATAAAACAAAACAATAATTTGATAATGGTATTTTCATAATGTGATAACGTTGCAAGAGAAGAACAACAGAGCATGCCTCGGTTCACCTTCATAAGCTGAACTTGAACGAGCAGAAGACGGCTGTTGATGTCCAGTGGATCCAATGCTAATCCTTTCCTCAGGTACTCTTCCCCCTAAAGAAAACACATAATTTCACGCATCAAATAAACTGCTCAAATTATTCACTTGTCATTTACAATCCGTGTCAATCTTCCTCTTCCTTAAAACATCCTTGTTTTTTATCGGTTTATTCTTACCATTTTGTTGCTTTTCGGATCAATATCAGTATCTGGGCAACTGCCCACCTACCCCTCCCCTAACTCAACAACAGTCAATTGATAACAACTTAGGGTTAATGTTGGGTTAGGGGAGGGGTAGGTGGGCAGTTGCCTAGGTACTGATATTGATCCTGCTTTTCTATATTGCAAAACTACCATTTTTCATTTCCTTCACATTTACAGTAGGTTGTCACATCGCGGCTAAAAGACCATTACTTGAAATACAAACGACTGACAAACGATTTCCTCACCTTTTTGATTACTTTTTCGGTTCCATTTTTTCCCTTTTTCCTCAAAAGCGGCCACAAGAGCATCTTCCCAAGCGAGAAGA